TTTTTTGGAGTTCTATTTCAGTAGACTTTGATCTGATATGGACTGATGGCATTTACAGAAATGTCATTGCCATTCTTCACTAGACACAAAGGAATGTGAGAGCATTTCTCAGCTGAGATCAATCAGTAGAATCGTTGCTCTGTCTAAGGTCATGCACCTTGAAGTTGGTCGGGTCTATCCGCAGCTTGTAGGCATGCAGAGTTTGTAGAGGAGCCAGGGTGACGGTCAACTGGCTGATGTCTTTGGCTCCCTCTGCTATGGCTAGGACAATCTTCTTCCCATGAGAGAGCAGATGAGCAGAGCCGGGATTTATGTCTAACGTCCTCGTTCCCGGGTAAGAGGCGAACATCCTTTGGAAAAAGAGAACGGTGAATCTGGAGTTCTGTCAGTAGTGTTGCAATGATGCGTAACTGAAATACAAATTATTTTGCTCCTTCCTGTCGGTGCGCCATCATCATCATCACCATCACCACTGGTGTGAACGCTGTTCATGCACTGCCCCTATCTGATGACTTAGGAAAGTAAAGCACCTACATATGTGTCATTTTGATTAATAGTTAGTAAATAAATTGTAATAAAAACTATCCATCAATTCCTATGTAATACGTCTTTTAAAGTAACCTATAAACGTTCATACGTAGAGGCCTAGATCTCCATATATAAACTTTCTGAACAATGCATGTAGAGGTTGGTTACTTCCAGCAGTGTGGTCTTCATATCTCGTTGGCTTTAAAAGAATTAAATTCCTTAATAATGCAGCATTTTATTTCAATACACAGAAAGTTCCGATTTGGGAAAAGTCGGTAAAACAGAGTGTGAACCTACCTAAGAAGCGCATCTGACCCAATATATTCAGCCACAGGAGTCAGCCTTTCCCATATTTCTACTATTAGTTCTTTCTCCGTCTTTGAGAGCATGGCACGGAGGAACAGAGCCCAAACTGTAGCTGAATATCCAGAGATGACTTTGCAGCGGAGGTCAGGCGACAAATCTGTGCGTAAAAGGCGTTAATCCACCATTTTATTAAGGGATTAACGCTGTTAACCAAAATGCAGACGACGTTAATGAGTAAAATAGACGAATTCTTTCTGTGTGAAGAAAACGAGAAAATGGCACAGGTCTCCGCAGCCGTGTTGTCTCCCTCCTGTGCGTTATCAGGCTGCGGACAGGGCAGGGTGGGGGCGCCACACCACTGCGCTATCTGCTGCTCTATGTGCGTCACACTGTATGTCTACCATATCATTCACATAGCTGACCTCAGTTTTGCTAGTAAGGCTTACAAGCTATACATACTCAGGAGTAAATAAATAAAGAGAGAAATAAAAATAAAATAAAAATACACAAAGCAATGCAGCTCATTTATTTTATTTGTTTTCTCATTTCACTCATCAGTGTTGGGAGTTCTTATTGGAATATGATTGACAGTAAATTCTTTTTTGAATTAATAAAAATAAGATGTTTATTTTATTTCGTAAAGTCCATTCCTCTAAGTATTAGCGTACTAGTTTCTTAAGTGTTGAAAGTGTATAATAAAGGAAGGAAGCATGTGGCCAACACTCACTGAGCGCTTTCTCAGATACACCTGTACAACCGAGTGCAATCAAATAGAACTGCCATATCATCATGCTCATAATGTTTCAGTTTTTGGTGAAACTGTCAGAAATATGTCTTTTATTAAAGTACTAGACTGGATTATATTCAGAAGCATTCCTAATATTCTGACCCCTTCATGTATGTAAGTGAGGAGGACAAATATACAGCAATGCAGAGATGTTTTGCTCAGTTGAAGTCTCCGAGCCGCTGCTATCTGCAGCTCCATAAGCTGCTTGCTAAAGGACAGTGGGCAGGAGGCCAGATAACAGTAGAGCCAAGGAGCAGGCTGGGTCAAGGGCAACTACAGTTTCAATGTAAAGACCAGCAACAGCTGTCTAGAAAAGGCATGAGGTTTCAGTGTTACCCACAGCTGTGAAAGAAATACTCCATAATTTATAGCTAAGGTCCCCTCTTCAAGGCTGGGCCTCAGAATCAGGGAAGCCAGGACTCACTTCATGTAAATTCATTGATGTGATTTTTAGTAGTACATATTTCCAATAAAATTGTAATGTCAATCATACTATCACATACCAAATGATACATAAGTGGCCGGGCAGTGTATAAGTTGTAGCTGACACCCTTAAATGTGCCAGTTGTGACAACACAATTACTGAAGGATTGTTGAAATATCATTAACAGGAAAACCTAGTCATTTTTAAATGTAATAGATTGTTGGAAATTGCATCACATCAGACACATATCCACATCAAATGCAATATTTTATTCTTAAGACTTTTTAAAGTGCCTTAGATTTGTGTTACTGCCTATTTATTAAGCTGGTTTTGAAGTCTGATCAGTGAATTGTAAACACTTCAAACTTTCTCTGCTGAATCAGAGAGAAAGAAAGGGAAAGAAAGTGAAAGAGTTGTGGGATTAACCCATACACTACAGCAGAGTACATAATTGCACACCTTTTGCATTATATTGTGTTCCTGTTGTATTTTTATTTGCTTCCTTCACCTGCTGCTTTAAAGTGCCTTAGACTTTGTGTTACTTATTTAACTACTTTATATTTCACTTGTATTTTGTGGCATTCACGTGGACGGCATAGTAAGAATTTCATTGTACAGGGAAACACGTTTCCTAACTGTGCATATGACAAATAAATACGTTGACCTTTAAATGTAGTTTTCTATGGATTTGAAGCATTACCAGACATTATCAGCTGTTACAGCTGTTACGCAGTGAAGTGGTGAGGGCTGACTCAGCACAATGAGGGATGTCCCTTAAACAAAAATGCACAGTCATGCTATATGTTACAGTGTGGTAGGCAAGTCACACAACTGACATGTAAGAAGAAAGTGCTGTTAATAACAACTTTGCCCACCCAGAAAACTGGGATGTAGCCTTTTTTTGCAGTTACCAATATATGTAATGTGACTATCAGGCCTTCACCAGTTTAACTCCTTGGTTGAGCCTATGTACAGTGGGTACGGAAAGTATTCAGACCCCCTTAAATTTTTCACTCTTTGTTATATTGCAGCCATATGCTAAAATCATTTAAGCTCATTTTTTCCTCATTAATGTACACACAGCACCCCATATTGACAGAAAAACACAGAATTTTTGACATTTTTGCAGATTTATTAAAAAAGAAAAACTGAAATATCACATGGTCATAAGTATTCAGACCCTTTGCTGTGACACTCATATATTTAACTTAGGTGCTGTCCATTTCTTCTGATCATCCCTGAGATGGTTCTACACCTTCATTTGAGTCCAGCTGTGTTTGATTATACTGATTGGACGTGATTAGGAAAGCCACACACCTGTCTAAGACCCTACAGCTCACAGTGCATGTCAGAGCAAATGAGAATCATGAGGTCAAACGAACTGCCTGAAGAGCTCAGAGACAGAATTGTGGCAAGGCACAGATCTGGCAAAGGTTACAAAAAAATTTCTGCTGCACTTAAGGTTCCTAAGAGCACAGTGGCCTCCATAATCCTTAAATGGAAAACGTTTGGGACGACCAGAACCCTTCCTAGAGCTGGCCGTCCGGCCAAACTGAGCTATCGGGGGAGAAGAGCCTTGGTGAGAGAG